GCTGTGTGGGAGAGATGCGTTTCCTTTGCTTCGGAGCTGGACCGCCGCCTGTTTACGAGGGGGGGGGGGGATTAGAGGCTGGCTCTGACTGTCAGCTTGGACAGAGACGAGCCAGGCTGTTAGCCCCACGCGGCCTTCCATCCCCGGCTATTCCAGGTCATCCACTCGGCTGTTTGGTGGCGGGGAGCCGGGGCAACCTGGAAATAACATCCGCTATCGACTCTGGACTTTCTTTCCCGGTGCCGCTGGAACCAAAGGCTCATTGAGATCGGCCTCTGCAGATAATCTGTCTGAGGACGTCCTTAGCGCTCTGTAATGGATCAGCTCTGGGTCACAGCAGCTTTTCAAATCCCTCCAAGTCTTTTTAGATCAGACGGCGAGCAGCTATCTGCCAAATTCATCAGCACACAATAACAAACACACAGCATCCGTCAGGGCTCAGCTCCTTCCAGGGTCTGGGCAGCGTTTCAGGCCTGGAGCTCATTTCCACAGGCTCATCACTTCACACAACAGCGTACTGAACAATACTCAGACACATCTGATCGGGCGCTTTCTTTAAACCTGAAAGAGCGAAAACTCGTTAATAAAACAGCATTACACTCATCCCTTCATGCATTAAGTTTTATTTAAGTCACATCAAACAGGCACAGCTGAAATTCAGACTCATGCAGCAGCTGATCTGTATAATTTATTAATAATAATAAGCACATGCAGCTGCACAGCACATACATGTGTATGATTCCCTCAAAGCACCGGCAGACGCAAGTAGTTTTTCCATCACTGGTTTATTTGAAGACGTCTCTCCAAAGCCACTGTGAAAACTACACAGCATTAACAAAATAAAACTCAGCCTAAGACGCTAGAAATAACACGTTACAACAAAACCCGATAAATGAATAAATTCCTCGTTGGCTGCAAGAAGGGATTAGTCACCGTTCCTTATCCGGTCGTTCAGTCTGACGTCACTAGCCGTGTCTGGGCCTAAACTCCGCTGCAGGTCCATATATCAAACGATCACTATGGCATTACTGAGAGTTGAAAAACTGTCTAAAGTCTTTCATCTTTAATAAAATGATCAGCGTTCTGCTCTACCAGGTGTAACAATTGAGTTTAACATCCAGGCATCCATGAAAACGGAATTTATGACATTTAACGGAGTTAGCTCGCTAGCAGGAAGTTAGCTCGCTAGCTTCTATCTAAATACAATATAGCATGTCCTGACTGCGGGGTTTTGGAAACAAATTCAAACGTACAGCTCTGTTATCACTTCCAACATCAATGAAGACAGAAAACTAAACAGCAGTGACGTTTGTAGGGTTACTGAAGTTTGGCTAGCTGCTATATAATGATGTGCTACGTGACCGCTAGCGACACAGCTATGTTAGCATAGCATAAACAAGCTAACTTTTTTTCCACTCGATAAAAGTTAACGTGAGTGTTCTCGGTGGTCAGGCACAAATGTAATCGCATGGCAGGATGCTGTAAAAGGACCAAACTTCAGCCAGGAGAACAACTGAGATAATCCATCCACAATACGAGGTTAGTCATTCATATACTGCTGCATGGGCTGGGCTGTAGTTACATCCTAAGGGTTTAAAAACTGAGCTTAAATAAATGATTAGCGGTAATAAAAGCCGAGGGAGGTCAACAGTGATCACTGACTGTTTTAGGAGCTTTTTGAGATTAAATAGAAGAAAATACAAAACATTAAACATGTTAACAACACAAAAGCATATTAAACACAGACTACTTTCGTCACGTCATCACTTAACGACCGGATAAGAAGGTAGTTAAAGTCCATCCCACTTAATGTGACTTTCAGACCACTTACAGGTGTTTTTTCCCAAAAAGGAAAACCTGCGACTTGTAAGCGAGCTTGACTTTCAAAATAAAAGCACCATGAATGTTTGTAGCTCATCGTTCCCCTCATGGACGGATCGATCAGGTTTTGAGATCCAACCCTGAGCAGGCTTTCTGCGCTAACGCTAGCGCTCCCATTAAAGTGACCAACGATCTGAGTGGATACGATAGATTTGTTCAGGCAGGAAGTGGAAATGCCGGCTGGTCTGGCACATTCCCATCACGCTACATGTGAACCAGTACGAATTACCAACACAGACTTTGTACAGGAACAGTCAGCACGGGGCGGGTCACCAACAACACGCATGTGTTATAGAACGTGTGTGAGATGAGGAGGTGTGGCCGTTTCCTGTGCAGTCGCAGATGTGCTGTAACTGTGTGAGTTCAAAGGTCAGAGCAGGAAAACACATTTTAGTTTTTTAAAAGATCAGCGACGTATTTTGTGTCTTTGTGTTTTTATCTGATCCACAAAGTCGTCCTGAGCAGTGACACACCTGCTGCTGGCTCAGTGTCTGTGTGGGATCATAGGCTCCAATAAAACTTTAGTCGCGCCTTTGCTGCTCACCTGTTTGTGATCTGACACGATGGACACGCGGACCCTAAACACAGCAAACCCTCACGCTGAGGAGACGTGCACTCGGCGGCGCTCGGTCCAGGTGGAATCCATCCATATTGATGTTGCACTAATGCAGCGTCCGTTGCTCATTAGCAGCAGTCAGGCTGTCAAATCAATGTGACTTTTACTGGAGCAGCAAGCGAAGCAAATCGCGCCACACGCTCGGCTATAACTCGATGTCTGACAGCGTGATTAGCTCACAGCATGGCGACGTTGTACCATGCACTCCGAGGTTCAGCTTCACCCACAGGGCAGCATGTTGACAGTCTGTTCTTTGAGGATTGCTCTACAACACTAAACTTTTTTAGGCGCAGCAGGAAGAAAAGATGGTAAGGTAGCATGTTTGGTTTCAGTTTGAGTCGTCTCAGAATGATTTACAGATAAAGACCCGGGCGGCCTCTTTGTTGGGTTAGCAAATACTGTGTAATTACAGTTTAGAGCAGCTGTTTTTATACTTATACTGACCCCCAAATATTGTGGGATTTTACTTTCAACCAAGATCTTTTCCTAAATGTAATGTGACAAAACCAGAGCACAGAGGTTCAAACAGAGCATGGTCCAGACTCCAGGCTGATAAACCTGCTCCTGTGACCCATACGACAGGTTTCAGGTCTCTAACACTGGCAGGTTATGTCTTGGTGGACAATAATGTCAGCGCATCAACACAAAAAAACACATTGATGATGAGAGTGAAAGACCTATAGCGCCATCGGTAGAAACCAGCAGATCCAGTGAGCCGCTGCGAGCAGTGGTCAAGATATAAAACATAAATGTAACACCAGAGACACTGACTGTCACTGAAAGCCTGTGAGCGATGGGTTGTTGGTGTCTTTCTCTGGATGTGGTGCCTTTTTTTGTTGTTGTTGTTTACAGCGCATTGTGTTCTGCGTCCTGATTGGCTGTAGGCCATTGTCACTCTCGTGCCGTGTCTCCTGTCCAGTGCCGAACGCGTTCAGCTTGTCAAATTTAAATCTTCGATGCTAGCAGTGTGACTCTGAAGTGCTGCATGTTTGTAAGTTTTCTCCCCAACAAACAACAATGTCGATGAAACGTTTGCTCTGTCAAAGTCTCCTGCGGTAGGAAGATGCTAACCATCGCACAAAGGTTTGGACTAAAGGAAGGTAGAAGTTACCGTATTTTCCGGATTATAAGGCACATTAAGCGAAACCAAACAGTCAGATAAGTCTTTACTCAGCTCATTCTTCTGCTTCCTCCACTTCCATTGATTCATTAGTGATTCATTAATGTTGAATTCTCTGGCAGCGGCTCTATTGCATGTTCTGGACCTGAAAACAGGGTTTGATCTTTGGTTTCATCCTATAATACTGAACTTTCTATGAAGGTTTGAACTTTGAGAGTTTAAACAAGAGAGAAAAGTGTGAAAATGTTCACGCCTGTCTGAGAAAAGTGTATAAAGTGTGCAGTGAGGGGTTTTCAAAACATCTATAATAATTGTAAAAAATAAAGCTTCGTGGATTTCACCTATCGTGGGTTTAGAACGAGGGAAGACTGTAGTGCTCTAAGCACAGGTGTCGAACTCCAGGCCTTTAAGGGCCGGTGTCCTGCAGGTTTTAGATGTGTCCTTGATCCAACACAGCTGATTTAAATGGCTAAATGACCTCCTCAACATGTCCTGAAGTTCTCCAGAGGCCTGGTAATGAACTCAGGGTGAGACCTAAAACCTGCAGGAAACCGGCCCTCGAGGCCTGGAGTTCGACACCCCTGCTCTAAGCCATCGGCGTGAGTAACAGGCAGAACAATTACATTCTCTTCCACCAGAGGGCAGTACAACTATCTGCTCTAATTAAATGGGTTGCCAACTGCCAGTAAAACAGAAGAAGATGAAGAAGAAATTACAAAATCGTCATGCTGTGAGACGACGCAGTGCGTAATAGCGTGATCCCAGATAAATGTTTGAAAAGAAAAAGTAGCCTGTGAGACCTGGTCCTGGAGAAAACTGCGGCCCAGATGAAGGCCGTAGCATGAGCAGTGAAAGCAAAGCAAAAAAGGTGTCCTGGGGACAAACCGAGGCTGGTGAGAAAACGATCAATATGATTTTTGTGACATTTTGCTTCTGTGGTGCGCCGTGTGATTTGTCTAATGTGAAATATGTGCCGTGGCTCCAAAAGGGAAGCACTGGTCTAAACCGGCGGTCCCCAACCTTGTTTGCGCCACGGACCGGTTTATGTCCACCAATATTTTCACGGACCGGCCTTTAAGGTGTCGCGAATACAACAAATACAATACAACAAAATAAAACCAGTACCAAAAAAAGAAAGATTTATTCATAACACAGGAACAGACCCAGGGAAACAGAGTTAACAATAACCCTGAATACCATTTTACACCCAAGCCTCAACTCTCGCGGCCAGGCACCAAACGACTCACGGACTGACACCGGTCCGTGGCCCAGGGGTTGGGCACCGCTGGTCTAAACCACCTATCTGGTACTCCACCTGCCTCCTGACCTGAGAAAATGAGCCTGTGCTACAACATGAAGGGAAGCGGTTTCTGATGAGTTGGAGTGAGAATATGTTGGGGCGCTGATCTAACCATTCACTGTCTCCATGCTCTCTCTCCAGAAGGAGGACATGCAGTGGCCTCGAGCAGAGCAGGAGGTTCCCACCTCCGTGTGCAGCCTTCCCTGTAAAACCGGCGAGAGGAAGAAGGTGGTGAAAGGCATGCCCTGCTGCTGGCACTGCGAGCCCTGCGACGGATACCAGTTCCAGCCTGACGAGTTCACCTGCAAGCTGTGCTCCTACAACATGAGGCCCAGCGCCAACCGCACGTTCTGCCAGCCCATCCCCATCACAAAGCTGGAGTGGCACTCGCCCTGGGCGGTGATTCCGGTTTTCCTGGCAATGCTGGGCATCATCGCGACGATCTTCGTCATGGCTACGTTCATACGGTACAACGACACGCCGATCGTCCGGGCATCCGGCAGGGAGCTGAGTTACGTCCTCCTGACTGGGATATTTCTGTGCTACATCATCACGTTCCTCATGATCGCCAAGCCAGATGTCGGCGTGTGCTCGTTCAGAAGGATTTTCCTCGGTCTGGGGATGTGCATCAGCTACGCCGCCCTCCTCACCAAAACCAACCGCATCTACCGAATCTTCGAGCAGGGCAAGAAGTCTGTGACGCCGCCGAGGCTGATCAGTCCCACCTCGCAGCTCGCTATCACCTCCAGCCTCATCTCGGTCCAGCTGTTAGGGGTGTTAATCTGGTTCGGGGTGGACCCGCCCAACACCATCATAGACTACGATGAGCAGAAGACCTTCAACCCCGATCTGGCTCGAGGGGTGTTGAAATGCGACATCACGGATCTCCAGATTATCTGCTCGTTGGGTTACAGCATCTTACTGATGGTGACGTGTACTGTTTACGCCATAAAGACCCGCGGCGTCCCGGAGAACTTTAACGAGGCCAAGCCCATCGGCTTCACCATGTACACCACCTGCATCGTGTGGCTCGCCTTCATCCCCATCTTCTTTGGCACGGCGCAGTCGGCAGAAAAGGTAAGACTGACTTACAGTTTTTGATGTTTTAGTTTGTGGAAATATTGGTGATGAAGTTTCTGCGTCATGTTAACTCTGCCAACATCAGCAGCTTGGTACCAACCAATAACATCTCCACAGGGGATCAACCCCAAGTCTCCTGGCTGAAAGTGTGACTGATACGTGCAAGCTGCACTTTTCGTTCTTTTGGAGTGAATAATGAATCACATATATGTATATATATATATGTATATGTATATATATATATATGTATATGTATATTAGGAGTGCAACAATACTCGTATCGATATTGAACCGTTCGATACAGTGCTTTCGGTTCGGTACGCATATGTATCGAACAATACAACATTTTTAATTTATTTT